TTAGCTTGATCAAACTCCACGATAAGAGTTTCTACAGTAGTTCCCATGAGGTGGACGTCAGACTGCGCCACCACTTCTTCATCGAAAAAGCTAGTCCCCAGCAGAGTCGCCATCTTTTGTATGGAGGGAAATTGCAAAGAAAAGAACAAAGAAAATTGATTTGTATTCCTTTGATTCTGATTACAATTTGATTACAAAAGAAAAGAGAACGAATTTGATTCTCTCCTTTGTTTAAAACTGGGTTCTTCTCGGTAGCGATGGAATGCCTCCTTCGATTGCTCGCATCGAATTTGCTCTCCGTTGACGATCCGACCGTCTTCTTTTCTCGTGAGAACGATGAACTTCTGTAGAAAGTTTTATAAGTAACTCTTCAACGAGTTTAAGAACTCTGAATGAGTTAGAACTCTGTTAATAGAGTTGTTAGAACCGAAAATTCGGTTAATGACCAAGCTGATATTCTGTTGTTGAAGAATCTTCTCAGATTTGATCTTCTGACTTGATTCAAAAATCCTATCTCCAGGGATTTTAATGCTGCTGCTGTTGAATCACTGAACCGAGTGGTTGAGATCCTCCAGAATTCGCCCCTGCTGCTAACTCTTCCGTTCCAAAAAGCTAGCCTTTAACTCAGTTGAGTTTTTATAGGGGGATAAGAGGTTGTAACTGTCCTCTAAATCCGCTCCTAAGTGGACGAAAATCCCTCAGAACGTGGGATAACGGTTTTGAGGCCGTTTCGGCTTGTATTTGAACAAGTCAAAACGCCCAATCTGGCGTTCAGAACCCAACTTCGTGTTTTAGAATTGAGACGCGAAGTTGGGTGTTGGCTGAACATTGATGAACGCGAGGGTCGCTCGCGTTTTGGTTTGTTGTAGCTTAGAAACGCGAGGGTCGGTGTTGGCTGGACCCCTACGAACGCGAGGGTCGCTCACGTTTGGTCTGTGGCTTGGAAACACGGGGGTCGCCTGCATTTCCAGAATTGTAACGCGGGGATGACATCCGCGTTTCAGAAAGAGCTTTTTGACTTGTAACTTTTTCTGTGAAGCGTTGCGAGGACCGTTGTTCAGTAATCCTAGCTTTAGCTGTTGTGGGGTGTGAAAGTCGTCAGATTGTAACTTTCACTGTAGAATGTGAAGACTGCTGAATAGAGTTTTTATCAGTTGTCGGAAGTGTCGTTGAATTGTAACTCTTCTCGATCTATGTGAAAAGTCCTCTATTTGCCGCTTTCGATTGTCGACCCGAAAGCTATTTGATTGTAGCTTTCGTTGTGGGAGCTTGACGGGAATCAACATCCATAGTGTTTTGAAGATGAATATTTGCCCACAACTCTCTACCAAGCAACTCACTAACTTTCGATTGTCGGCGCGAAAGCTATTTGATTGTAGCTTTAGTCGTTGGAACTTAACGGGAATCAACATCCATAGTGTTTTTAGATGAATATTTGCCCACATCTCTCTACCAAGCAACTCACCAACTACGTCCAACCTTTTATTTCTGAAATCATTGCACTGTTCATCAGCATCTCTAACAGTTGCTAATATAATATTAGTCATGTTGTTGTCGCAACCATCAAGATCAATCATCTCAGAAATGAGGCCGTGTTTGTAGCGATTGTAGGATTACGAATACAGTGATTAGACAGCCATCTGATTGTGACTTCCATCATAGGAGCTTGATAGGGATCAGCTATCCATTGTGATTTTTAGACAGCCTACACTCGTATTTGTGAAAAACCTCATTTTAACACAAGTACCAAAATATGAGTTTTGAAAATGTATAAGTGTGTGTGTGATATCCCAAATAGCTTCAAATAAAATCTACAATTACTTGCTTATGTTTAAGTACTAGAGAGAAAATAAAATAGCAAATATCTCTCACATAGAAATACATTTCTTGAGTATTGATATTGTTTTAGAGTTGATGAAGCTTCTCATTGCGTTAATTGTTCTTGATAAACATTGCTTCATCACTTTGCCTCCACCTCCTTTAGATATTAACGTTGTAGCTCATATTCCATCTAATCCTCCATACTTGTTGTTTGTCTACAATAAATAGAAAACCATAAACACTAGACAAATAACATTAGTCGTAAATTATTTGTTAAACATCATCAAAACAAGAAGGTCAACATGATTTGGTTGATCAGTCGACCGATCAGAGATATTTTCCTACACTCCTTTCTGGCGGTCGAATCGGTCGACTGATGAGATTGATCAGTCGACCGATGAGTCTCTGAACTGCTGTGTGCATATTTTCAACACCTCGTCCACCATCTTCTCGCATATAGGATTTCTCCAAATCCTAACACCTTCCCTCCTCTCCTCCCCCTCTACCTCCCTCCTATCTTCCCTCCTCCTCCATTATCACCTCCCTCACTTCCTTCCTCTCCTTCTCCTCGTCCTTCCCCTTCAACTCTCTCTCCACTCTCATTGGCGACATCCTCCCCTCCTCTCCTATTAGAGACCCCATCACCTCTAACCTCCCTTCCCCATTCCTCTTCCTCTTTGCCTCCTCTCCTTCTTCTTGGGTCAGATAGGGGTATAATAGAAAGTTTAGATTTTTTTTAAATAAAAAACACAAAAACCTGTGACATTGAGAACAAGTTAGCAACTATAGGTGATTTCTATTAAAATATACAAACTAAGATGGTAAGTTACAATTTGAGTAAAAGTTAACGTGGCTTTCATGTAAACCCAAAAAAAAGATATAAAAGATAGGAAATATTGTGTATAGGCCCCTTTTTAAGAAACCCCATGTGCTGCACATCCTTGGACTTTTCTACATGTGTTTTCTTCTCCTTGGCCTATCACTTTTGGCTAAAATAGACCATCTCTAAATATTAGGCGAAGTTAACACTTAATAATTGAAGCTAACACTCAACGATTAAGTTGAACACCTAACTGTCAAACTTAACACCTAATAGTTGAACTTCACATCTAATGGCAAAGCTTAATATTGAAGCTGTACAATTAACATGTAAGTTTTAAAGTTAACATGTGATGTCTAAAATGAACTAACAAAGAATTTTTTTTTGCCGCCACAGCCTCTCCTACACTATTTTTTCTTTCATCAACCATCTCTACTTTTTCTTCTTCCACAAATCTATCACATCCCTCAAAGACCATAATCTTTGGCTAAACAACTATTTTTTAATATTAACTTTAGTTTTTTAGTGTTAATTTTAAATAACTATAAATTTCAAGTGCTAACTTTAAAAACTATAAAGATTTTAACATTTGAAATTTGAAGTTAACACTCAAAATTTAAAGTTAGCACTTAAAATTTAAAGCTAACACTAGAAAATGACCGTCTTAATCAAAGAAGATGGCATTTGAGTGATATGACGGCGGTTATGGAAGAAGGAAGAGTAAAGATGGTTGAGGTAAAAGGAAAAATGGCAATGGTGATACCATGGCTGTAAAAAAAAACTGAATTGTTAGTTTATTTTAGACTCATTTGTCAAATGTAAAGCTTACCTGTTAACTTTAAAGATTCGACATTAAGTTTAACCTTTGGGTGTTAATTAAGTTTAACTATTAGGTTAAGTTTGACTGTTAGGTATTAACTATAACTGTTGAGCGTTAACTTTAACATGACTTTAGGAGATGACTTGTTTAAGCAAAGCTAACATATTTAAATGATGCTGCAGCTGTTGCGAGACAATGGAGAAGGTAGAAGAGAGGAGAAAGGTAGAGATGAGACGGATGAGGTGGGAAAAGGGAGGTGAAGATGAAAGTGGAGGAATGATGAGAAACATGAAGATAGGACGGAAAAGAGAGGAGGATGGAGAAGGGAAAGTACATTGAGGAGACGAGACGAGAATAGAATCAGGGTGGAGCAGAAAGGAAAGATGAAAGAGGAGAATGAAGTTGGTTAATAAATAAAGAGAGATGATGCAATTGGGGGGGGGGGAAAATGAAAAAAAAAAAAGGATTAGAAGTGGAAAGAAGGGAAAGATAGGATAGGAGAGAGAGAAGAAAGAATGGATGAAAATTGTTGACTTGAGAAGGATAGAGAAGAGGATAAGAATATTTTAGAGACAAGAAATAAAAAGAGTGTGGAAGGCGTAAACATATTTGACTTTGATCGATGAGCAAAATCACATGATGATTCATAATTTGGGGTCTAAACATATATTTTTTTTCTAAAAAGTATGCAACAATAGGATTTTCAATAATATTTATGCATCTGTTACTATATATGGCTTTACTTATTTCCCATGGGTCCAAGCTGCTTTCAAGAAGAGAAAGAGGTAATGTTATCAAGATAGTATATCAAAAGGCTACAATTTACACCATTTTTGAATGATACCACCGACAATGATGATCACGAAAACAAAGAAAAAAACGAATTTCAAGGACGAGATGTGCCTATTTTAGTTTATCGATCTTGATTTTAATTTTTATTATCCTAGATGGAGGTTGTTTTAGTTATCTCTTTTGTGATTTTAATATTTGTTTGTAAGCTCTTACTTAAATAAAATTTAAACTTCTGTAACTTTACAAGATTTTTAGATATTCTTTAATATTTGTAGTTTCAAATATTCTTTACAAACTCTTCGTAACCAAGACTTCATTAAATTCATATATATATATATATATATAATATATATTATATATATATTAATATCTTATCAACTTAATTAAGTTGATGTCGCACTAAATTTCTACTCACTCATTTATTAATATGAAAAACATTTTCATATCATGTAAGGATCTCTAGCAATATGAGTGGCTAAAAAGTTTGGTGGATAACTTTTTGCTATCCATTTAAGTTGACACAAGTTGATATATATATATATATATATATATATATATATTATATATTATATTATATATATATATTATATATATATTAAAGAAAAAAGAACTATCACGTGTGCGCTTAAAAATTTTCATTAAAAGAAGAAAGAATCTACTTCAAAAAATTACAAATTGTGTGTGACTATCTAAACCGACCGTGCCCAATCACTGAACAGATCCATCAAAATAATCTACAGCCATGCATTCTCTATCCACCTTTATTCGTCTCCACAACGCTTCACTGCTCTTCATCAACCGCACACTGGGAACCCTCCTCAGTCTCCTCCAATGGCGACCTCCAATCTCAACCCAACCCTATCCTCTTCCTCCTTCTTCCTCCTCCTCCTCCTCCTCTCATTCGCCGCCGGCGGTATCGTGTTCCCTCCGACGTGCGAGAGAATCGAGTGCCCAAGCTACAACGTGATCGGCGTAGGCAAGGGGTTCGAGATTCGTCAGTACCCATGGACTGAGTGGGTGTCGACTGCTCCCATTGATGATATCTCGTTTGTCGGAGCGACGAGGACTGGGTTCTTACGGTGAGTTTGATTTTTGTTTTGTGGGCCAAGTGTTTTTGTGTTTGTTTGTCGGCGTGGCATTTCTTCGAGCACTTTATGTTCATTACAAAATTTAGGAAAACTGATCTAATTATGTTTTTTTTTTCTTTTTTTTCGATGGGTAATATGAAATATTAAAACAATTTTAGTTGGTATCTGAAATGGTATAGAGTTTCTTCGAGAGGCGAAGTCGAGTAATTCTCCTATTGTGAGGTTTTGTTCAAGCTTATGACGTTATCCATGAAATTGGGCCTAAAACTATAACATTGGACGATGTAACACTTCTTTGTTTTTTTATTAAAGAAATTGTTATTGCGAAAATATATAATAATTGCATGATTAGCATAAATAAGGTAGTTTAATAAGGCTGGGTGATTTTTGTAGTGTAGTAGTCTTCTCCAAGTAGTGGCGGAGCCACACAGCGTCCAATGGTATCACATGACACCGTCGGATTGCATGCTTTATACTAAATTTATTTTTTGCTTGTATTTACTATTTAGGACACAACTAGAATTAGGATAGAACACTAATAGAAGGGACAAATTTGTAAATTTGTCAATTTGTCAATATAGAATTCAAACACAACCATGATAAATTATATGGAGACACCACCAAGACAAAACTTTGGCTATGCCACTAACTCTGAGTGGTTTCACTTAAAAAAAGGGAATACGTTTTTAGGATGAAACATTGATTTATATAGTAAAAGTGAAAATTTGAGCTTCATGTTAATCCATTTTTCTCTTTTTTCTTATTGACTAATGACATCAAATTTATCTTGAGGATACAATTCCGGTTCAGAGTCGATTACTTAACATTCTTTTAATTTAAAAATCTTTTTTTTTTCTGATCGGAATATGAGGTTTTGGGTTGTTACTATCTAATGATGCTAGTGTGCACCCCGTGCAAAACACGGTCTCCATTTTTTATTTCTGCTACAGTAATTCTGTATTTAAATACAGTTTTTTGTAAGTGCTACAGTAACATTTTTAAATGCTACAGTATCCCGCCTGAGCTACATCGATAATGATACAATAATGTTTTTTAAACACTACAATTACCGCATGTGTTACATTAATAATGATACAGTAATTTATTGTAGCATGAATAGTGAACATTGGATCCTCCCGTCTGTGATACAGTAACAATGCTATAGTAATTGTTGTAGCATTTACTGTAGCATGAATAGTGAATCTTGGATCCTCCTGTTATTATAGAGGAATAATTCATATTTTGGGTTGATAGAATTTCAAGTTTAGAGAGGTTTTATAATTGTAAGAGTATAAAAAATAATCCTCAATACTCACCATAACTTCATATTTTTGGTGTGGTGGCGTGAACTTTAAGAAGACATCAATCCCAAGTTTGAATCTTGGTGATGATGAATTTCTAAAGCAGACTGAAAAAAAATGATACCCTTAACCCTCACCACAACTTTGTAGCACACTATTATCTTTGTAGAGATTAAAACTGTGGGACACTTGAATTATTGAGCTGTACCTTTGTTCTTATTTGGTTTAAAAGGTCAAGCCTTGATTATATTAGATATCGTATATGCATTTTATCCCCATGAAACCAAGTTTGTGGATATATACTTCATTAAGAAGGCTCCTGTTTTTATGCTTTCATTTGAGTTATTCAGCATACTATCTGTCATAAGTCCATTTTCTTTTCTTCACCATGACAATATGTGATTTTTATCTTGTTTGATCATATCTTCTTTTTTTATAATGACAAAAAAATTGGAGGATTTGCTTCAAAAGACGGAAAATAGTTCCCTAGAGCATGTACTTAAATTTTCATACTATCCTTTAATAAGTTGACATGGTTGGAAAATAATGTTGGGAGATTGAGAGATTGGGCCAATCCCAAAGGTAGGAAATGATGTCCAGGTTCTCTTTCATCAGGTTACTGAATTACTGATATAAGCCTAGAACAAACCTTGCATTCTATAATTCCGCACAAATACATAGGTTACTAAATTACCAACATAATTGTATTGTGAAAGGTCTCATTTAACAATTCTAACAAATCTTTGTTCAGGTTATTCGACTATATCCAAGGAAAAAACGACTACAACGAAACAATAGAGATGACAGCTCCAGTGCTCACCGAGGTCTCACCTAGCGATGGTCCCTTCTGCACATCGTCATTCACTGTGAGCTTCTACGTTCCTAAAAAGAACCAAGCCAACCCACCACCTGCTGAAGGTCTCCACGTACAAAGATGGGGCTTCAAATATGCAGCGGTGAGGCAATTCGGGGGATTTGTATCTGATGAGAGCATCGGAGAAGAAGCATCAGCTCTTTACACCAGTCTTCAAGGTTCTATTTGGGCTTTTGTTAACGAGGGGAGGAAAGATGATCCGAAGTCTGTTTACACTGTTGCCCAGTATAATTCACCCTTTGAGTTCTCTGGTAGAGTGAATGAGATATGGTTCATGTTTGATATGCAAGGTGTTAAACATGTTTACGCAAACTAGATCATGATTTTGTTGAGTAGTCTTATATGTAAGTCCTTGTATTGAGAGAGTTATTAGGATATAAACTCGATGTTTATGAGTAATAATAATTATGCATGATATTAGTATCAGTAATTTCTTTCTGATGGTATACTTCCTTGGTTTACAGTTTGATATGCTTTTGAATTTGCTCTGCACTGGCATCCTTTCTTCTGCTCTGATCTAGATAGTTTCTTTTCATTTGTATTTTTTTAAAGGAAAAATATGACATTAGTTTGTATTGTCAGAAATTGAAAGAATAGATCCTAGATAATGTTTACATGGCAATAGTTTGTTATACTGAGGAGTATACAAAGAAAAATACAGAAATAGTTCGGCAAAATGACCAGATCGGTATATTTTGTAGACCCTTGGTGACAGAATGGTATAAATTTTTTAATTTTTGTCAAATTGGTATATTATGTAGCCTCCAGCGTCATATAACCCTTAAGTTTGGTCGGGGTCATTTTTCCGTCCAGTGCTGACGGGATTTATTACATAAAACCCCCTCATCAAAAACCCATCCTGCTCCTAACCCCCCGCCCCCTCTCCCTCCTCCTCATCTTCTTCAACCTCCCCCTCTCCCTCCTCCTCCTCATCCTCTTCCTCATCCTCTTCTCTCTCTCTCTCTCTCTCTCTCCCAATTCGCACTTGGGTCTTTCCTCTTTATTCTCTTTCCTTGCTAAAGTTTCCATCTTTACACAGAAGCAGAGCAAGAGACCTTGCCTTCAATTTCAGGGTCTTGTGAAGGATTTCGAGATCCGTATGGTATTTGTTTAGAATTCGGAAGAAGGGATATTGGTCCATACAAGCATTTTTTTCTCCATTGAAGCAAGCTCGATTGAACTAAATCTTACAACTAGTTCTTCATTGCTTACTCGTAGATTGAAGTAAATTTCAGACTTAGTTTTGGAGAATGTGTTTTTTTCACCAGTTATTTATTTTTTCCCTACTTTGTTTGAATCCAGGCTTTTATCCAGGAAGCTTGCATTAGTGGAACTTTCAGGGCTTAGCCATCAGCAGAAGCTTGCATTCTGTGTTGTGCGCGGCACGGAAGCGGGACAACCAAACGGGCGTGCTTCGAGAACCAAATCAAACAAACGTCGAGATAAAGACCAAACAAATCAAAACAACGGTACAAATCCAAACACAATAGTTTTACGTGGTTCGGCAAATTGCCTACGTCCACGGGGCAAGAAGGGGATTGGGTTTTCACTAATAGAGAAGAAGAGTACAAACTGAGATTACAAAACGCTCAAACTAATCAACTAATCTCACCAACAAATCTCTTAATCTCTCCAAATAAACCCTCAAACAATTGCTCAGAAAAACTCTCCTTTTTCTGCGCTCCAATATCCCCAAACCAATCTCCAATCCAAGCTCAAAGAAACCCTAATTCGTATGTTGGTATTTATAGCAAACACCAAAACCAAACTGAACAGGAAACTCAAACTGGGCCCTGACCCGATTGGCGGTCGACCGCCCAAAGCTCGCGGTCGACCGTGATCCAGTGACAAAGACCAAAAAGTCTCACAGGTTCTCGCGGTCGACCGCGCCAAGTCCAGGCACAAACCTTGGATCCGTTCACTATCGCGATCGACCGGCCATGCGCCGCGGTCGACCGCGCAGCACCCAAACAGAGTCCTGCGCTATCCAAAACCTGTTCTGATCAAATCTCTTGCCGATTCTACATTCTGGATCAACATCTACAATTCATGCATGATGAATGTATGTTTATAAGTACAAATCTTATCCCTTTTGATAATTTATAACTTTTTTGATTATAAAATAACACTAATTTTCTCAAATAACACACGATTGTCTGATCAAAATATTAGTGCAGACATCTCTTAATACTATATAATGTATCATATGAAATTCTTATTGGCACTTGAAAAAAAAGAAAAAAGAAAAAAGAAAAAGAAAACTAAGATCTTGTTTCCTCTGTTCTACATTTAGGCATTTCTTGAGCATGGTGTCTGTACCATCAACTCCTCAAATGGTTGTTGCGTTGATGCCAAAGGTATTAGCATAGTGAATTATGTGATTCCTTGTTCTTATATTTACTTCAACATATGTTTCAAAGTTTCATTGTAAATGTTTTCTTTACTGCCTTAGGTGATGGTGAATGTGGGTGGCCACTTTCTCACTGTGATGACTATCGAGCATTTCATACTAAGATTAAAGAGTGATGAAATTACAACACGGGGGATTTTTGGTTTAGATTGGCCTGAACCCTTGGTTACATTTGCACTTTCATGTAGAAGTTGGTCCTCTCATGCTGTAAGTTTTCTATATATTTTTTTTAAGTTTCTAGTTTATAACTTCTAACCATAGTGTAATACCATTTTGGTTCAATTTCAGGTTAGAGTGTACACAGCATCTCAAGTTGAAAGCAACAGGAAATTGCTAAGAGGGACTATTTTCAAGCATTTGTTGACTTCTCAATGCCAAATAAATTGGCGATTCCAAAATTGTTAGATTGGTATCTATTAGATTTTGCAAAGGATGTGGAGTCTCTAATGGATTAGATTTACATGCAACTGCCAGAGAAACTGAGGAGTGATGCAGTTAAATGTCTTGAAATGGGGAGGAGGAGTGAGATTATGCAACCGATACAGGTTCTTCCCTATGAATTCAGAGTCAGGTACATTTTGGCCCCATAGAAATTTCCACAAATTTGAGATTAGGATCTGAAGGTCGTGACAATTGGTACTTATCATCAGTCATAGTGGTCCAAAATTGCTTACGGGGGCAGTCATAGCAAATCATCCTTTATATATATATATATATGAGAAAAATAGGTATGCTTGGTACCAAGCACAAAAAATTATGCTTGGTAGTGAGGTAGCATAATCCCCTCCATTCATTCAAATGATTGCATATCCCCATGCACTTCTCAACCTATGTGAATGTGGTCCCCCATTTGGATGAGTGGAGGGGATTGTGCCACCTCACTACCAAACACAAAATTTATGCTTGTTACCAAGCATACCCATATTTCTATATATGAGAAAAATGGATATGTTTGGTACCAAGCACAAAAAATTATGCTTGGTAGTGAGGTGACATAATCCCCTCCATTCATTCAAATAATTGCATATCCCCATGCACTCCTCAACTCATGTGAATGTGGTCCCCTATTTGAATGAGTGGAGGGAATTGTGTCATCTCACTACCAAGCACAAAAATTGTGTTTGGTACCAAGCATATTCATATTTCTCTCTCTCTCTATACTCTCTCTCTCTTTTTTCCCCTTAAAACACTCTTCCTAACTATTAATCAATCTAGCTAGAAGATTTAATTATATTAACTCTTTTAGAGTTTTAAATTATAAGACAATATTTAGTAAAAGAAATAAAAAAACTGCTATCAGTATAAATCACAGTTTAATGAACACTAGAAGATAAGATTATGAAATTTGAAAAATTAATAAATATGATATTCATGTGTTTCTTTGCAACATTTTCTACTAAACAGAAACGGATGGCGACCACGACGAGTGGAAAAGTTCAAGAAAAAATTCAAGAAAAATATCAAGAAAATCCAAGAGTTTGGCGACTCGATCCAGGGCTTCTTCTTTCCCTCAATAGTTTTCCGGAAATAATTGAGTTTTTCAAGTTAAGCCTATTTTGCCTCAGCGCAATTCTACACCTACCATAGGGGTGCAAAGTGGTCCGGATTTATCCAGACCAACTGCAACCGTATCCGTTTAGAAAACGGATATGGTAGGAAAAAATTAAAACCGATCGGATACGGTTCCAGAAATGGTTATTGTTTCGATTTTTTATCCGGATACGGTTTTGGATACGATTATCGGGTCAAAATTACGGATACAGTCCGGATATCCTGATATCTAAAATGAGTATACTACTTCTATTGGGTCGGGTCTATAGCATATATCTGCAATCCGACCCCAAATTAACTCAAAAAACACCAGAACCCTAACACCTTGTTTGGATTGAGGGGAATAAGGGAGAAGAGAAGTTAGGGGAACCATTCATCTTATTTGGGAACACGTAGGAGGTAAAGTTATTCACCTTTGGGAACACTTAGGAGGTAAAGTTATTCACCCTAGTTCCCCTTATTTCACCATTTAATAGTATACAATTTATTACTCCCCAAATTAGGATGTAACCAAGGGGAAGGGAACTCCCTTCCATTCTCTTCTCTGCTGTCACCTAGCTTCCTTTAACTTCCCTTAACCCCATTGAAATCCAAACACGCCTCCAAGCTTCGACTGCGACTGCTCGTCGCTTCTGTCCGCCTGATTCCCTCACCTGAGATCCAAGTCAGCACCGGCAATGCGTCCCACATCGCCTCTGCGTCGTACCTCTACCTCAGCCTCAGATCTCCACCTCCAGCTTCGCCTACTCCTCCGCCTCCCGCGTCCGAGCTCCACCTACTCCTCCGCCTCTCGCATACGAGCTTCTCCTCCCACCCCGCATTCAGTGAAGAAAACAATGGCTTCTTCTTCTTCCTCCTCCTCATCGAATCAAAATCCTTCGTCTACTCTATTCCTTTAGAATTCCATGGCCCGAGCTCAATGAAGGCATCTCTTACATTGACATCGTCAAATCGACTCTGGTGTCTCTCTTCTCCTCTCCTTCCTTTATTTGCTGCCATTTTTTTTAAAAAATATTTCCTCCTAATTTCGTTTTGCAGGAAAGACCCTAATCGAGTTCTACTCCTCCAAGTATAAGAACTCCGCTCCATTGCAAGGGTAAATTTGTTTTCAAATCATTAAATTTTCTTGATTTGGTGGCGTTTCTCGATTGCGCGCTAACTGTTTGTTTCTTTGTCTGAACCGGTGAGCAGTTGGATACAGAGAATTAAGAAAGGGCAGGTGCGCTGATTACTGAAGATTTGCAATTTATTTGGGTTTTAGCCTTTGTGGCTCTGACTATTACTATTTTATTGTTTTTTAAAGATTACAGTCGATGGAGATGTGAGTTTTAGTCTTTGTGGTTTTGAGGTTTGTCATACAAGATAGCAACAAAGTCTATGAGGTAACTTGTCTTACTCGACTTACTTTGTATTTTTTACGAGTTATTAAAATTATATGTATTTTTCCTCATATCCTATTCATATCAATT